ACACACACACACACACACACACACACACACACACACACACACACACACACACACACACACCGGATCCAACACAAGCCCGAGCTCTGTGGACAGTATGCGATGGCTACCGAGGCGTAAATGACTCGACCGAAAAAGTCACTTCGAAGGGAGTCTTAGTATTGGGTCGCTCATGGAAAGTTCCGGAAAGTTACCGATCTGATGAGACGGCGAAACATCTAAGTTCTATGTCTTCAGAAAGCACAATGAAAACGAACATGGGCTAGAGAATCCAAGGAGGCTCTGTTACAACGGAGAAGACACCAAACGAAGTGGTGTGGCCAAAGTAGTCGCCGAACCCCTCGAAAGTCTGTTTTAGCCGATAATAGGGTCAGCTACGCAAATTAGCTGCCCAAGCACGCAATTACTTAAGTGGTCGCCCCGTGCATTGCTGAACAACCACTCAGGATCTGATTAGTATGATCACCTTGATCTAGACCTTTTCCGTTCAGGAACCTTTTTCGAGTGGCAACGGAGTTTATCTGTTTTGCAACAGAGTGCACTGCTCGAGATAGCAAATGGTATGCTTTCTCTTTTAGAATTATGTGATGTGTTATATAGAAGTCGAATACGCATTCGGACTCATAACTGGTGTCAGGAGTGGTTGTCTGAATAACACTAAGTGGGACACACTCAAAGCCAAGGCAGAATTTGAGCCATGCTCCGCAGGTGAGTCTGAAAAGATGTTTTACGAAACAGCTTTATAACCTATCCATAATATTTAAAATCGGTGTTGTGGTCAATGAATTCTAGCTACTCGGATCACTGTTATGCTAAGCTGACAATGACAATCAAATGTCGACCGAATGATATATTTTCATACCACTTCACGGGCCCATTATTGAGCATTTCGCAGACTGGCAGACAGAAGAGGCACACGAAAAGGCATACCGAAGCTGTTTGTAAAGTGAATGTCTGAACATGAACCATTTTCCAGTCGTGCAAGGAATTTAGCTGCATTCATAATATGACATCATCGTTCCGCTTCTTGTATTGNGCTATCTCAAGCGATTTTTTCTGCTCAGATGCCGGTGCATAAGCGTGCCTAAGGATGAAGTGGTGGTCATTGTTTGGTAGACCAAGGCCTGTATCTAGTTCGAATGTTTGTGTGCAGCCTATTTTGTCATCACGAATGCACAACATCTGATGCATGCTGTGTTTGGAATCCAACCGGAGCAAAGATGTACAATACGACTAATCGTGTAAAATAAGGTTTGCGGCTGAGAAAAGTAATGGCACTTCTCAGTTCAAAATAAATTTTATTATCAGATATTTTCCTAAGAAGGAACTAACGATGCTACTCTGAATCCTATGGTGCCGTTCTACGAGGAGAATATTTGCCAGATTGTGAAATTCTCTAGCACTGAATTGATTTCCAACTGTAATATATCGAATCCGACTTGATAAAAACGTATGGACAGCACCAGTCACTACTGTCGCGGACACTAACATTCAGCATTTGTATAATTGTTGAAACATCCGGTTAAGCTTGTTGAGTCTCGTGTCTTAAAGGCACGTTCATGATAACTTCAAGGTACCGTTCCAAGCCGAAAAGTGGAAGTATTAAGTGGGAATAGTGGATCGGTGTGAAGGAAAAAGGAAAATTTGCCGATTTTGCGAAAAAAGAGGCTCCTCAAAAAAAAAAAGAATATTGAGGTTGTGCGAGATTACCATAACGGAGATGATACGGAAGGGGTAATGGACGAGATTTCAGCTGTTGCTATTGCGCAAATAGCTGACTACATCAAGCCGGGAGACGGGCGTTAGGAACGATTTTGGGTAATCGATTTGCCGCACGCGGCTGTCGCGGATCACTCATTCCCCGTTATTACCAGCTCTAGCGTTCTTCATACAGCTCAATCGATATGCGATCATTATTTTATGCATAATTCTACTATAGTACTTTTGTTTTTGTATTTCTCACCTACTGCTGCATCCTGCTACATTCCTTCGCGTGCGACGCCCCTCTCACCGCGACGCGACCATTTCGTTCCTAACGCACCGCACCCCATCGAGCCTGTTCAGGATTGCCTTTTACTATCGCTATGGGTCATGATAAGTTGTTCGAACTTCCTACATGGGTTCCCTCGTGAATGGTGCAGTCTATACAATGCCGTTGAGACTCGTACGCGCGCCCACACAGAACAATCTTTGAACTATCACTAACCCTTCACTAACCCCCTATCTAGGCCCTCTTCTGACATGAAAGCGCCTTATATGGTCTGAAAGGGGACCACAGATTCATCATGGCGAGACATCTCATAAGACACTTTTGTCGTGAGGTGGGCCCTTCAAACTCGCACGAGGTTTCTGATGAAGTTTTGTTGGGTTAGGTTCGTGCGGTGTCACCTTCCTAGGAGCCTGACAAGAATCGATAATAGTCTGTGGATTCCCGATCGAATGTGTCCACAACACAATGGTAGTTCGGCTAATCCACGTAATCGTAATCCAAAGATGGGATTCTCGCCGTGGCTCCGCAGGTTTTCGTTATCACCCAGCAACCGACCGTAGAACCAGGAACTGAGAACCGGGGACACAGTTACTTGTATAAGGTTGGCCTTTCCTCAGCGATCTCGGTAAAAGCCTAGGTCGGTAGACATTGGCACCACTATCGGTTGCTTGACGATTTCGAGGATCCACGAAGCTAAGGTGGGTATCCCTTCTTCAGATCATGTCTGAGCTGAACTTAAGTAGGGTTGTGGAGACGTCTGATTTTATACCCACAAGTTGTTTTCTGTCCCCTTTCAGGCTCTTAAGAAGGAAGTTGGTCAATAACGTTTTAATAAGTACCTCGAACGATTTCAAGACATAAACTATGTCAGGCCATAGTCATGCCGGCTTTAAAGGAAGCCAGTCCGTGGAAACTCATGGTCAAGATCAGTAGAGAGAGCCCTGCGGCTATGGGTAGTGCGCAGAAGTCTCACAGTCTTGACGAAAAGCTAACCACGGCTGCATGTGCTCGTTCTTGAGCAAGGATGTAAAGAGGGGCGTGCGACTGGACCTCATCTGGAAAGACCGGATTAGAAAGGTAGACGTCGGATCAGTTATACAGACACCCCAACACAGCTCACAATGAAATAGCAGCGCTCGCACTAGGATGGACACGTATTGAGATATCCACCGGATCACTCGATGAAAAAGCATTCGACTTCGATGTCGCGGAAAGCCTTGAAAAAGAAATGATGAGTACGTGATCAAAAAAGCTTTCAAATCAAACTCAACGCAGAAGATGCCGGGGACAGGAAAAAAATCGCGACGACTAGTAGGAACAGCTGACCATAGCTGAGAGCTGGAAGATGATATGTGATAGATCCAAATTACAAAATCACTCGAGAACAGATAGAGGTCCTTGCAGGAATGTCTATTTACACATACTGTTGTACTTATGACAGGAGACGGCCACAGGTGTGACGATCGATACGTATCTGACATAACGTAACTATGTTTTCAGACGTTTCGGTCGCAGCAGACTCCATAACGTGGATTAAGGTGCAGCCACGATTAAGAGGCTTATAATCTCCTGCCAGCAGGATTTGTGCGGTCTCTGGACGTTAGGAACCCTCCCTGCTTCGAAAGGAATTTCCGAATTTTTGCGAGCGACAAACACCCGACAAAACTTCTCACCTCTACTTTTCGAAACGCTCTAGGAAGACGTGTTCCAGAGCACCAACAATGGAATTCCACTCATGGTGTTGGTATATGTTGCGGTGGAGGTAACTGCATCAGTAAGGTAAGAGTTCAATGTTGAGTTGGTAAGTATATTCTCGCAATTTTTCAAAATTTACTTTCAACATTGGTCATGTAATTGGATGTTTTTTCATTGAGTTGCATGGAACATAATTTACGATGGTCTTATTTAGCGTAATATTCATGTCCTATGTCCTTCCTTGTTGCCAGTCCTAACTGCTATAGTATGAAGTTTACTGCAGCCTTTCCAAGATTGCAAACTTTATGAGGCTAACGTTTCGGCCAGCTCGCCTTCGTCAGAGCCTGAAAATCGAGCAACCGTTGGAATTGATCCTATAATAAGGCAAAATAAACCCAGACAGATAAACCCAGGCTAGGAAACCACCTAGACTCGGTATACAAGAGGCTCAACTCGATCTAAATCGCCGGTGCGTTAGATCGACCACCCAGAATGTGATGTCTGCGTGCAACGAGCAAGCCTACCTCCTTCCAGGGAAATCGTGCCGGAACGCCTTTAGACGAGAATAGTGGGTGAGTCGAAGAACCTTTGTGATTAGATTCGACGTAAGGCAAAGACTGGGCTGAAAGGCAAGTTCGATAGATTGGTAGATCAATAACGGGCTCAGGGAATACAAGTAGTGCCTACTGTTCGCCATCACAATGAGGACCACCATATCTCAAATCACCTATCTAGCTCTCGAGTCACGGTTTTAGGCGGCATCACCCTGTCTGAAGAAGCGCGGTCATCGTTGGAATTAGGTCCTAGCTTTACACCAACTCGATCAATTACCCTCGGGTCGTAGGTTAGATAGTGGGCAACCTGCTGACCCTCCAGGATCGCCTCAGATGTAGAGCCAACAGCGGATCGTTTGGAGGTCTACGTTCAACAGTGCGGGAAGCGGGAAGCGCGCTGGAGATCAGGCAAACAGAGTTTTCCCTGTTTTACCTTTTCCTTGCGCATATTGCAAACCACAAGAGCCGCATGCTGTCGCAGATACCGAATTCGGTTTTTTTAGCTACATCTGTCTCCACGATCAATCGCTTGAAGAGTGATCTGCCTCTGTGTCTTGTCCTTACCCTTATCAAGACCCATAAGCTTACCGCTGCAGACCTGAGCTCCAATAACACCACAGTGTTCAAGGTCAGGCCCATTATCAGCAGTGTCGGGGGACCCACTGATAAAATTTAATGGTTTCTCAATCTTGTTGTGCGATAGATCCTTCCGTACATACCCGTCCATCTGACTAATACGAATATGCTCCTAGAGAAACTGTTGAACGTAGACCTCCAAACGAACGTTGTGCTCGAGTCATTCGATGTTACATCTTTGTACACAAATATGTCGAAAGAAGCTGCTTTGGAGGCAGCATTTGAATTGCTGAGCGATCACGAAGGCTCTCTCAACTTGTACAGTTTCTCTATCACAAATAGAATGACCGTCTTAAAGGAATTATAGAACTGCTCTTTTTTCAAGCGGTCGGGTGACTACTATAGATATATGAGGGGTTTGGCTATGGGCCAACGGCTAGCACCCGTACTGGCAATAGCATACATGTCAAAAACTGAGAAACCTATTCTAGACCGCAGACCAGCTCTCTATAGTCGCTACATTGACGACTGCCTAATCATATGTTCCACTCAAGCGAAGATGAACATATGCGTGACATTCTTAACAACCGGGTAGATCAAATTAGAGTCGCAGTGGAAAAGTCGTACTGAGAGCTGGCTACCATTCCTTAATATCCAGGTCCAGCTAGCGAGGGGAAAAGTGCGGATTATTAACAATATGTTCAGAGTTGCCAATAAGGTCTCCTCTGATACGGATATCAAGACAGAATCGCTGGATATAGCTCGAGGGGTTGCGTTGTCTAATGGGTATCCTCACTGCCACGGGGGTCACAACGTGGGGGGCATTTTCCACCTCGTTGAGCTCGTGAACGAGCACCAGTCAATAGGGTGGCATTTTGCCTGCCATTCATCTCCGAAGAAATGAGCAGAGCGATTCGATCAAGTTTGAACAGGTGTGATCTACAGGAAGAGGTCATGGTTGTGTAAATACCCCCAGGGAACTTCTGTCGACAACTGGTCCGCAATCGCCTATACGACATCTTGTGTGACACACCAGCTTGCCTTCTGTGTCCTTCCAATCGACGGGGTGATTGCATGAGAGCAGGAGTGATTTACGAAATTCGTTGCCAGGCCTGTGGTGCTGAACATATTGGTGAAACATGGGTCCCCTTCGTACACGATTAAAAGAACAACTGGAGAGGCTGAGAAAGTCTCGCACTCAAACACCACTGGGAATGCATTGGGTTTTGTGTCATGATGGTAACGAATTCATGGCATCTTGGCACTAGAAACGGTGACCACCGCGCGGAGAGCACTTGAGGCGTGTTGTATTGCAGCTAAACCCACAAATAAATAGGAGGGAAGAGTGTGTGGCCGTAGCTTGTGACCTCGCGCCCTTTCTCGACCTATGCAAATTTTAAAATTACTGTAAGGTAAGGAAGGAGGTGGGCTTGCCTTGCTCATTGCACGTAGACGTTACATTCTGGGTGGTCGATCTGTCGCTCCGGCGATTTAGATCGAGGTAGGCCTCTCGTATACCGAGTCTAGGAGGTCTCCTGTCTGGATTTATCTTGCCCTATTATAGAATCAATCCCAATAGTTGTTCAACTTTTAGGCCCTGACGGAGGCGAGCTAGCCGAAGCGTTAGCCTCTTAAAGTTTGCAATCTTGGAAAGGCTCCAATAAACTTACATACTAATCAAAGGACATGCTAAGATTAAGAGAAGGTCGATCGTGGTATATCCTAACTGCTATAATTCGTCAGATGGCTGAAATAAAATGTCAAGTTGACACTCATATGTAGGCGTTCCCGACGTCCTGTTGTTTTACAAGTCGGATCGCCCGGCTGACCCCGGGCTCCCCTCCTTCTCGTGTTAAAATTGACATGCCGCCTGCACCTTCCCAAATTTAATATTTCGGTCCAAGAAAAGAAGAGCTATCGAATTACAGTTAAACAAACCGATACACCGACACACTGTGCAATGGGTTCAGTCCCTCATATTCCAACTTGACTGCGTGTTTTCACTCCTGCTTACTGCGGGTTTTCATTTGAAGTATGCTCACTTCACGCACTTCCTTTGAATGCTCGCCTCCTGTGAGCGGAGTAAAGTCATGACACTTTCCATCAACATCCTCATTCTGCCGACTATACTCCAACAACCTTTGAATGCTCTAGATGCACGGGAACAGTAGGTATGAATTTCTTAGACCTCGTTCACTGTAGGCGGAGTTTGTGCGGAATAAATGTTTGATCGGAAAAATAACTCATGCCTCCATGAATCTAGAGCGTTCAAATTCGCTCTGGGTCCACGGAGGCGAATTCGGTAGGAGTATGTACCTTAATTATGGAATTCGAAATTATCTGAAAGATCAGTTTTCTATAACCACAAAGACTGAGACGAAAGGGTAAAAGACTCTCAAAGTAAGCCTGCGCCGTCGTCGCTGCTGCAACCAAAGAGACAAAAAGAGTATAAGTATATAGGTTCGACTTCAGCAAAGTGGATGCGCAAGCTATTACATACGGCATCTCATGGGAGTGATTCGCATTATTATTCTTCGTTTCTCTCTACAGAAAAATGTACGACATCTCGCTAGGCCAGAATGCTTTGCCCACGGACTATCAAAAGCATCAACTCCCCTGAAATGGTATTATGGGACTTGTCAAACAAACTCCGTGGACACGACGCCAAAACCAAGCTGAAGGGGCCGCCTAGCATTGAGTAAATTTATTATAACCAATAGTTTAGTAGACTTCACTGAGAGAGGAATCAACGTTTTTTTGGAAAAATGTTCCAGATATTCCGTAACCTAGGGAGTTACCGCTAATTGTCAACAGTAAGCGTATAAATATTTTGCATGCGCTAAGCAAGCATTTCATGAGAGTGCAAAACAAATTCATGCTCGAGGAGGCGAACACTCGTCCCTCCTCCATGAGGTCGCCGGCGTATATGCTACGCCATCGCCACACATAGGAAGCCTAGAACCAGATGTGCGCCAATGGAACTTAATCCTCATTGGGCAAATTTTCTCGAAACTTCGATCTCACAATTGTTTCGCAGGTTTGAGGGGTGGAACTGAGGTAAGCGTTCGAAAAAGCGCCGTACATATCATCCTGGAACTAGTGTTTAGGGGGTATTTAGCAAGAGTAGTTTATAGAGTGCCGGCAATTTTTCGAATAAGCACTTTCTCCCTTGACTCGGCGCTATGATCATATACAGCTCTCCATGAGCGCGGTGTGTACGAGACAGGATTTCAAAGTCGTTGGTGGACACAGGAGACAGCAAGGCATGCTACAGATTTTTGTTAAGGTTACTTCGTCTTGAACAGTGAGCATGACATTGCGCTCAATATTATAAGCCAATGGTTCGTCAGTTCTCTGTGGAGACAAAAAATTCGAAAACACCGTGACTCGTTCATTGATGTGAAGGAGAAACAGAATTTCAGCTGTACCGCCAATCTATCTTTCGCGAACTGCAACGGACTAGACTTACAGATGAGTATGGTGAGTAATAGCAACCACCATGAGACATGAACGCGTTGCAGAAGCTTTGAAAAGGTGGTCAGGTGAGCCGGATCAAAAAGGCAGGATGTAGGGGACAAACCAAATTTCTTGGAATTTCTTTCTTTGGTGAGAACCACTTATAAAGGAAAATTCACCACTCAAAAAATTATCGACACAATTTTATAACTTGTAGCTGTGGATAAAAGATATAGTAGGTCAGTCTATTCTCTCTGGAGTAATCCTTCGTTTTTTCTGCGTGTAAACAGATCGTATCAATTTGATTTGTATTTATTCACTAAAAAATAAATACAATCTATTTAACTGATTCATGCTTGCAACTTCCTCTTACATCGAGTACTGNTCCTCAATTAAGCAGTTTCAGCTCTCATGAATGGAAATCATTACCCTCCTTGGTAATTTTAGCAAGAGTGTTCTTTCCTCCCAACTCTGCTCCACCTTTCAACGATCCCTCCACTATAAAAAATCGGTGATGAAATCGAGCTTTCTATCAAATCGACTTAATTTCCTATTATCTCCTATCCTAAAATATCGTATAGACCGTAGTAAGGAGCGGCTGGCTATGAAAAATCAAGTAAGAGTACAACTTGAAACATTTCGGGAAGCGTAGTAGAGTGGATCGTTTGTGTAACGATTAGCTCCTGACGTGGAATTCATGGGGCATAATGTATATGTCTGTCTTTTTACTATGGAGCCCTGAAACTTCCATCATTTTTTTTATGTCAAAGTTTTTAGCACAGAGTCGATAGTTGCCTCAAATGAGCTGCTGAGTCGACGGGGCCTTTTCGTCGTGTTGTTAAAACGCATCATTGTCATTTTCACATGAAAATAGTTAGTTAATCGCAATCAGTTTTGACCAAGTCAACCCTGAGCTCAATAGTATCAAACGATGCTGCAATGGTGAATTCGGTTACCAGATTCTGTAATGGTTGCTCTTTGTCGTACTCATCACAGTGAAGTTCTAGGCTTTCATGAGTTAGCCTTGGACAGTGATTCTTAGAAAATCAATAAGTTGGAAAGGAAATGAATGACGAAGTCGGTAAANAAATCTAAGAATTTACTCTCCAAACTGCCAAAACCTTTGTTTTTCGCTGTCTGAAAAGGGTACTGAAAAACCAACGTCTGATCACAGAATGGCTTCCGGATCAGCTGAATGACACCATCGTCAACACATTATTTTTAGTCGTATTCGGAATTCGGTTTGCTTCACTTGCCATGGACAACAACAAGACCTGAGCGGCAGCCGTCAATAAATGACCGATCGTGAGATTTCACAACAATCGTGTGCCTGGTCTGGGTATACAAAACGCTTTCTATCTCGAGAACATCAGGTCACGTAATTCTGAAAAGGCATACTCGGGTCTATCCGGCACGAACTTTGTATTTGCGAGTAGCCACCGTTATCATTCCTTTATGGCTATAGCATACCCATATAACTGTATACCTACTGCAATCGTGAGCAATTTTGCTCTAAATGTGTAGCTGAGCACATTAGTTGAAGAGAGAGTGAATTCCCATCTTTGGCATACTCGGCAAAAACTGAATATTCAATCATAGACGATAGTTTTCATCGCGGAGATGAGGTGATTACAATGGGATCAGGAACCTCACGAAAATCTGATTCGAACGAAGGTGTCAAAAGGAGAAAGGCTCTAATTTAATTGATCATCCAGCAGCATGACGAGCAGATCTATCGTATTTCATAATTCCTTAATTTCGTGAACAATCACATCTGTTGAATAAGGGAAAACTGCTGCTCCACCCTCGTTTTTACAGTTTTCACTGCAGCTGTGTTGTAGAGTCATTTGACTTCTAAGTACTTTGCAACAATAATACTTCGGAAGCGAGTATTCTTCTTAACGAGAACTCCTCGCGAGGCTGACGGATTGGGCAAAACGGAAATAGCGATCAGAGATTGCTTGACCTGCAACATATTTGAGTGATCCGAGCATGTAATGTACTGTCTCTACACTGATGACTGTTTCCTTATAACTTCAACTCAATCCGGTTCAACATTCTAAACAGTCTATTAGAGAACATCGAAGCAACGTGAAAATGCTTGGACGGCGGCTAATTTTCTTTCCTGAGTACCCGCTTAAGTGTTATCATGGCATGCACTGTGAAGTATCATAGAAAAGAAGGCTTCCAGAATATCAGTATTCACATCATTTCGGCACTTTCTAGAGCTATCAAGCGGTTGGTATCGACGAGGAAAGGGAAGAGTCAGAAAATTAGTTCGTCATCTACTAATCTTAAAGGTTCACAGTGCTGCAGCATGGCAAACGAAAGTGACCAAGGCCTTTTTAATGCAGAGCTGAATGGTGATGAATTTCTCGCATCAGCCTGCCTCCCAACCTGAGCCTCACTCTGGTATCGGAACTGGTTCTGCAAACTTCCCAGAAGCATTGTTTTTGCCACGGCAGAGATCGAACTTGTCTTCTTGGGTGCAGGCATGTGTCTGAACTCTTATCACTTCTCTATCCCTGCCTCCCTGTATAAGCAATACCACACCACTGCTTGAAACTAGATCGCTTCTTGGTCATCGTACCTGGTATGCAGGCTCATTTTGAGTAAAGCTCACGAAAGGTAGAAAATTGAAATGTCAAGGTGTTAACTCATATGCAACTTGTCAATGGAGCCACTCACCGTCTTGTTGGTCGTTCGGTTCATCAAGAGAGCATCAAGGTAACCAGTAACTACACTGGTTGCCTTAATGCTCCTTGCAGTCGCTTCCTATTCCTATACCAGGACGAGGATTCACGGAAAGGTCACATTATTCACTGTTGCACTTGAGTTTCCGTGTGCATTATAGTCATGGCCGATTCTTGCAACTTTTAGGGCCTGAAGCAATTAACCTCAACCTTCGTGGTGCTTGAAGTGAATCGGTTCCTACCTATATAATGCAGTATTGACACAACTTTCCTTATCGCCTGAACACGCCACTTTCACAGTGATATTCCCGGAGAATACAGCATACACAACACAGAATACATATTCAGCGTTTCTAGCTTCAAGAGCACGGAAGAGAACGGCAAGGCTCCTGTAGTTGTCAGTCCCTGCTAACGGCACTCTTTCACCTGCACCCGTCTTGCGTTTTTGCCGATGGTCATATAGGCCAGAAGCTGCTCGTTTCGATTCTCGTCTGTTGTAGAAATATTGTGCATCACCCTTCTATGTTGCATATCGCTTTAATGAAACAGGCGACTTCCCAAAATGGAGACCTTTCCGGCGGACTTCAGTGGTCCGCGCGAGTTCAACGTATATGTTAAGCGAGCAGTTTATTTTAGAATGTTTGAGATCATGCGTAGCTGCTGCTCTCGACTCATCAACATTAATGGTGCTTGTTGTGGGCATATGGACATCTCATACCTAGTCCCACGCGATTTCAAGTGTTGCGTAAACAGCGGTGACCCAATTTTCCAATCACTTCCAACATGCTTCCACTTGATTTCCAGAAGCCTACTCAGTTCTGTCTTCAGTCCGGACCGTAAAATGATTGCGAAAAAATGTTCTACGGCAAAATTTTTTGATCCATCCCTCCCATTATTAAAAACCCAAGTTATAATTTTTTTTCGTCTCAAATATTCCAGCTAAATTATTACATCTGCTTATGAAATGATGAAAACTGAAATGAAATTGTGGATGTAGAGTGTATGAGGATAGCAAATAAATGTGGATGGTTCGGAAAGGAACGGAATCTGTCAGTAACGAAAAGGTTGCTGAAGGTGATGAGATCGAAAGTCAAGAATATTCTCGTCGGTGAGATGAAAGCTCCACGAAATGTTAGATCGCGCCCCTCACAGAACCATATCTATGCTCTCATGATGTCGAAACGTCACGCTCATTACTGCTCCAAGCCACCTCTGTGAGCGGCTTACTTCTACGTATTTTGTGTTCGTTTATGTTATGCATCCACCAGCTCAATGTGAGTTTTTGATTGTTGATAGCCAGTTGAGCACTGCACACCAACGCACGCGTCACTATAAAGAACGTGTCGAACAGAGATCCCTTACACTTGCTCTTAGCTCTACCCCTGGTGGCTAGGCTATTTGGAGCGAAATTAGGAATTTTTCTAATTGCGCTGCCCTTTCTGGTGCATGTTGCGCCCCTGAGAGCGGGGTTTCCCTGAGATACATAATATGTGCTCTGTTGATCTTCCCCGAAATGCCAGCCGTCCCAGTGTTGACCCGACTTCTCCAGGTAATACCGAATTCGGGACAGATAGGCAGATAAAAACGAATTCTTTCCTTATAGCACGTGATAATGATGATTTCATAGGTATTGAGTAATGATGGCGACTCCATATTATAAAGCGATTTCAAAACGTCGAGGACGTCTTCAAGCAGAGTCGTGGACCTTTAATCTATTGATTTTTCTTAGAACCTTTAATAACTTTTCCCCCCATTCTATAACGTTTTTCCCCGGAGCTATGAATTTTTGATCTAAGCTCTACCCACTTCAGTGCGGATCCCGCCCAACTGGGAGAGTGCATTCCCTGCATAGTCTCTGGTCACCTTTTTTCTCATTTTGAAACATTTCTCCACCGGGGATGTGAAACCTAATCATAGCCCCGTCCACTTCGAAGACTTGACAGCATTTCTTCTATTATCTCAGACCAAGCATTCTGGAGCGTGCTTTAAGGGAGTTACGAATCATTGATCTTACAATTAGCCAAGTCCACCTCATCGCAAACTCCGCCACAACCCCGAATCTATGTAGACACATTTCCTCTATTGTCTCTAACCACTTTTTTCCCATGATCTAAAACTTTTCTGAACACAGTTACAGGTATTATTGTATGGTAGCTCCACTTTTTGCGCATTGTAAGAAGGGCTTCGTTAACTTTATGCGTGCGCAGCATGTATAAAGCCCTGCTTACTATCGGTGATTTTTTTCTGACCTCCACGCCTTCGTCGAATTATGAATGAATGAAAAAAGTGGAAAGTACTGCCTGCTGCGAAAACGCTCCGCTCACCGCCAG